CCTTTCTCCTGCTCCGACCCCCAGGCACCCCTCTGCAGGGCAGACCCCCACGACTTCAAACGATGATCCTTTCTCTGAACACAGGAAGCTTTCTAGAAGTTTTCCTTCCACATCAGAGCCATTGGGCACAACTGCAATAACCTCTGACCCCCCGGGGAACGTTGAGCACTCCTGACTGTAATATGCCCTGCACACAACTTAAAAAGGAAAATAAATCTGCTCTGGGCTCTCCTGGCTCTTTGAACCTCCCGCCTCGTGACTCCGAGTGGGCGGGATGGGTGGGATTCTGGCAAAGGGACGGGGAGGTCCGTTCCCCTGGGGCGACTCCTTTCTGGGCAGCTTCTTAGCCGTGGGACCTCGGGCAGAGGACTGCCTCCTGAGCATCAGTTGTCCTGTCTTCTGTATAACGGAGTGCTGGCATCACTCAAAGCGTGTGGGGCTTAAATCACACATGCAAAGGGCCCGGGTTCCTTCCTCTCCCCCACTTCCCAGCCACACCTGAGCTGGGCCCCCCAAAGGCGGGGTGAGTGGGGGAGACAGCTTCAGCTCTCCGTGGTGCTGGGGGGAGCGCCTGCCCCACGGCCACCGGCGCCCTCGGCCTGAGCACCATCCCTGACCCGCACGGGCACAGGCATCTGGGCGTCTGAAGTTCTTGCACATTTAACGGCTCACGAGGGCTCAGTCTCAGCTTTGAGAATGAGGAGACTGGGCTCACAGGGTGAGAGGACTCATCCAGGTCACGGGCAGGGGTGACGCCCACAACATTTCACCGTGCGGTGCAGGGTCACACGTAAGGATGGATCGGGCGGGTGCGCGGGACCGGTGCAGACCGCTGAGTGTCAGGGCTGTGCGGTGCTCGGCAGACGTCTGAAGTGGCTGCTGTGGGCCTGGCAGCCCTGAGCTCGCAGGTGGACGGACAAGCCCTGACCTCAAGGAGCCACCGCCCAGCGACGGGGGTTGACGGCAGACTGGAGTTGGCACCCCAGCCCAGCGAGGGAGCTCCGGCGAGCGTTCCCGGAGCCTCGGTTTCCTCGTCCACCAAGTGGGGTTAACAGGTCCCGGTGGGGATTCGAGAGGCCCAGGCAGCCTGGGTCAGAAACCAGGGTGACGCCAACACACGTCGCTGGAGGGGCTGGGCAAGTCTGGGCCTCTCGTCCAGCGGGCGAGGGTTTCCGCTAGTCAGTCAAGTGTCGAACATCCACTCCCGAGACTTGGTAGCAAATGAGGGAACACATCATCCCGGAAGTGACCCATCCCAAAGAGGGGCCTCCTGCGCTGTCATAACCCCAATCCCACGGGCAAACCTGCAACAGAGCCGTGGACAAGGTGCTCTTGGCTTGCACAGAAGCCGGCTGTACTTTTGTATATGACAGACATGTCCATATGAGCGTCAGGCGCACAGATGTCACATGAGTCGGTGAAAGCCAGCTTGGGGTTCTGGGAAACGCTGCTTGGGAGCAGGGTTGGAGCACGTGGCATTTGTCACAAAGCACAGGTGTCAGCACCAAAACCAGAACTGCCAGCCTGGTGAGACCCTGCTGCACAAAGCCTTTCGAGAGAGAAGCTGCAAAGGGTCTGCCCCCACCCCCATGGCCCTGGGAGAAGGGGTCTGGGCCCCCCTTAGTCCTGGGAGAAGGGGTTCCGCCCCCTACACAGCCCGGGGAGAAGGGGGTCCGGCTGCCAGGTCGGGGACAGCAGGAAGAAAGGGAGAGGAGACGACTCTGGAAAAGGACCCTCGTGGTGAGGACGAGGCCCCGGGTGGTACCGTCCGCCAGTGCCCTCTGAACAGCCTGTTGAGGGTGTCCCTGCCTCTGAAGGCCACATCACCTCCGGCTCGGGGTGGGCAGGTGTAAGTGGGATCAGGGCGTGGCCAGGCTGCCGGAAGAGGGAGGCCAGAACTTTTGTCAAGAACCGATGCACTTCTCTGCCTCGGGGTGAGCCATGGTGGGGAGCCCGCTCCCAGCTCAAGGTCTCTGCGGCCCAGGGCCCTTGGGCCGTGACCGAGAAGGGAGCGGGGCTGCCAGGACCTCACCAGGTGAAGGACCTGTTTCTAGGGGGCGGAGGAGAGCAGATGCCAACCCCAGTACAGCCACTCAGTGGCGCTCACGGCCAGCGGCCAGGGTGAGGGCCAGTCTTCCAGGCGAGGACGGAGAACAGCCGCTTTTCCCAGCTGGCGGAAAGCCACAGCCTCCTGCCGGGTCCATCAGCCCCCAAGCCCAGCCTCTGGTGCGGAGGACAGCTCTCCCCAGGTTCCCTCCGTGAATGCAGGGACGCCAGCTGGGCCTGCCTTCTGCAGGTGACGCCGCTGGCTCCGGGGTCAGCCCCACCCATAGGTGCTGCCAGTCCAGACACCTGCCTGTTGCCGAGGGCGAGGACCCCTCTCGGGGACTCCTCTGGGCTCCTGGGGGGACAGACACCTGGTGCCTGCCTCAGATGGGGCACATCACTACACAATCAACATCCCCAAGAACTGGCCCAGGGCACAGGCCTCCCACGTGACCTTCTGACCTACCCAAGGCCTCAGCCAAAAGGTGGCCCTGCCAGTTGCCACCCGATGCTGCAGGGCCACAGCCCCATGTGGTAGAGGCCAGTGACAAGGAGGCCCGAGGGGAAACCTGCCCTATGGATGGTGTCAGTGTGCACCCCGCTGACAGGGGGGGCGCTCATCACTCCCAGCCCCGCCCCTCCACTGCGCTCCCTGCCATGGCTCCTGAAATCCCTCAGAGACGGCTGCTGCTGGCCCACGGTGGTGATCAGCCCAGGGAGAGGACTGCACATGTGTGGGTGCAGCTGGGCCCCTTCCCACCCCCGGCAGCTCCCTGCCTTTAGGAAGCCAAACCGCCCCCTCGGTTCTCACTCCTGGAAAAAGCAGTGACCGTGCTCGCCGCCCGCAGGAGGCGAGTGGAAAACGCCAAGTCACCAGAAAGCAGTTACTTGACACCTGGGGCCTGGACGCTAACGTGGGTGACACTGAGGTGACATCAATCATACAGGAACGGGAGCCGGTCAGGGTCCTGGCCTGGCATCAGGGGTCACACCGCAGGCCCCACCTGCTCTGGAGGCAAAGTGGGTTAGACTTATTCAAAAAGGAAAAGCCATTTTATTAAGACTCGGGGGATGACAAACTTCTGGCAACATTGTGTACACACATGCACAGTGCAGTTTGATTTCAGTAGTTTATTCTGGAGACAAAGCAGTGCAAGAGGCGGCCACGCATCCCGCTTCCCAGGGCTCAGGCAGCCAGGAAGTGACGCGGACATTGTAATTGGGGTTCCACACTCAGTCGTGTAAACACGGTTAGTCAGCAGGCCCGTGTCCAGGACAGCGGGCAGCTCTGAAGGCAGCCACCCCACCCCAGGCCGAGGTGGGCAGCCCCTGCTCCCCGCTGAGCCGGTGCCCAGTTCAGCGGCCTCCGGCCATCCTCCCGGCCTCGTGGGACAGCCAGGCCTTTTCCTCTTTCTCAAACCCAATTGGTACCTAAGACCAAGGTCATGCTCGGCAGGTCCTGGCATCTCTCCCAGAGCTCACTGTCCTGGGACAGACACAACCCTCCTCTGAGGAGGGGCTGCCAGTCGTGGACCTTGGGATTCGACAACCAGCTGGCGGCCTGTGCTGCCACCAGGGCTGGGTGGCTAGTTGGGAGGGAATTGTTTTCTCACCTCTGGGCTGCTGCTCTCTCTCCCTCCCCGGTCCCTGCTGGCTGGCTCAGTGGTTGGGGCTGCAGTGAGTACAGGAGGGGGACAAGGTCTGCGGGGTAAGGGTGGGGCGGGCGGCTCCTCCTGCCTGGGAAGGGGACCCCACATCGCCTCGACACCAAGGGGGAGTCCGTCCAGGTCCACTTCTCGGGAAAGCAGGTGCATCGCAGGGCCTGGGGCGTCAAGCCCGCCCTTCAGAGTTCTGGTCTCCACGGAGGCCGGCGACTCTCAGAATGACTTGCCCAAAGTCATGGCACAAATCCTTGGCACGGGCGGGGTCAGCCTGGGGGACCCAACCAGGCAGCCTGCTCCAGGGTCCCGACGAGCAGCGCTTGGTCAAGGAAGAAGCCCCTGGCGGGCTGCGTGGGGCAGTGGTGAGGGGCGGAGGGGCTCCAGGGAACTGGACGTGAGGGAGGCAGCGAATCCAGGGCCTGGCCTCCCCAGGGAAGCTTCCTTCCCCTTCCCTCTGGGAGAAGGAAGCGGCCACAGCCCAGACCCAGCACGGAACCCCCCACAAGCGGCAGCTGCGGCCTCTTGCCCCCGTGGCTCATGCTTCTGGGAAGGGCAGCTGCATACGTTATGGGGTTTTGGGCCCCACTCCTCTCAAAGCTGAGAGGAGGCCGGCCTGGGGGTGGGGCTTGGAGAGGAGTGAAGGGGAACCGTCCACTTGCTCCGTTCAGCGCCCGCAGCCTAAGCCTGGTCCGCAGCAGCCATCAGACCAAGACGCGGAAGTGTACACACACTCGCACACGCACAGCAATCGCACACGTGCACACACCCCTCCACTCAGACCTAGTGTTGAAGCACACGCGTGTGTGAACTGGGTGAAGATCTGCACGGCAGGAGTTAGGCAGGGGCCCTCTTCCGGGAGCTGGACCGCTGGGCTCTTTCCACCCCCCAGCCCCTCACTTAGATAATGACAGAAAATAAGGTTAAAAATTGGGGGAAAAGTCAGACCGTTGGGAATTCTAAGGAGGATGTCACCACTGGGGGCTGCTGGTCCAGTGGCCGTGCTCCGTGGCCCACGCTGCCCTCTGGGTCCGGGCTCCGTGGCTACTGGGAGGAGGCCTTGGTGGCCAGGGAGGCCACGCAGTGCTGCTGGAAGCTGGGCGACACGGCGGCGGTGCAGCCCAGTCTCTGGTGCTGCAGC